GAGGAGAGGACAAACAGAGAGGATCTGAGTCAGAATCCAAAAAAACACCAAAAGGAGAACAGAAACTCTGACTTGTCCTCCCTCTTAGTGCATGTCTGTGTGTGTGTACATGTTTTTGTTAGATGTGTGTGAGATTTCTTCTGATTGTGCTTTGGTGGACCTGTCTTTGAAGACAGGAGGCACCCTGACAGCGAGGAGGCCAGAGAGAACCTGACAGACAGCAGAGGAGAGGAAGAGGAAGGGAAGATGAGAAAGTGAAAAGCCGGTTCGTTGCTTTTGGACAGCGGCAGAAGAATCTACAAGGACTCCACTTCCTATCATCCCACAGGTTAGCTGTGTGTCATGTGTCTCTTTTTCCTTTCCTGTCTCTCTGTTTCTCATTTTTATCTTAAAGTTTAAATGTTTTGCTGTAAGGCTATTTGAGGGACATGATGTGTTTTCTCACCTGGAGGAATGTGAACACACACACACACACACACACACACACACACACACTCACACACATACACACAGTGCATACACACAGTGGGTATCTGGAAAGACATTTCTTCAGCTGGCCCAGTGTTCCCACTGACCCTGCTGACTGCTGTAACCTTCACTACAAGGTTATGGGATGGGGACACGATGTTTATTTTTTGTGGGCATGTGTGTGATCAGTTGCTGTCTTCGCTAGTCATCTTGTGTGTGTGTGTGTGTGTGTATGTGTGTGTGTGTGTTTTGCAGAAACTGGTTGAGCAAGGCGCCAGTTAGCCTTGGGTGTCCTGTTGTTGTCCAAACAAGATTTAGTGGTGTGAGCGTATTAGCTTGTGGATGCACGTGCCCGGTCATATACTTTCCATATGTACGGTTACAACATATGTGTATCTGTGCCTCTGGTGGATATTTCCGAGAGCAGCTGTCTCTCTGACACTCATCACAACATTAATGAGATTACAAGATTACATTTCCAAGACATTGATTTCTTCTATAGTTTGAGGAGCTAACTTTTTTTTATCTGTGTTTCTCCATGACCCGGCTCCTTTGACAAGATCTTTAATATGTAATTTATGCCTCTGATTTTTGGGTAAACCTTATGAGCAAGATGCTGAATCCTTTCAAATATACCAGTTATCGCTACGTATTTTTGCTATCGGTTTTGTACCTGTAACTTGCACAATGACAGTGAAGTTGAATCTAATCTAATTTACAAAACCAGCATAGTAGAGAATAAGTTTCATTAATAGACGGTTTTGAGAGGTGCTGTAATGTGAGATAACAGTTACACTTTCACTTACAATCTAACTTATTGCTCTGAGGATCACATGTGGAAGAAGGCGCAGACTGACTGACACCTGCTGTACACTCCTGTCTGAAGGCATACGTGTCCACCATCTTAAAAGACGACCGACTTCCTTGTGAATACTGCAAATACTTTTAATAGTCTAAGGTGTGCAAAAGGTGTGTGTTGACGTGCTGGTCAGACCTGATGTAGTGATGACACAAGCTTCTTTTAAACTGCCTCATGCAGAGGAACAAACCTAGATACTGGTTAAGTGGATAGTATGTGATACTTACTATTCAAATGTCCCTGCAGATCTGTGTGTGTGTGTGTGTGTGTGTGTGTGTGTGTGTGTGTGTGTGTGTCTCTCTCAGGCAGTGGCTGTGGATTCAAGTAAGTTCACTTCACCTCTTGAACTGTTTTTCAGAGTGATACTTATCTCTCAACCCACTGTATCACATTCCATAATTGCAAAAAAGGGACACGCAGTTGTCTAAGGCTGGAATTTATAGTTTTTATTTTTTTCCTAAGTGTGACCTTAGTGGTATTGTGTTTGGGCCCTCTCTAGTTTCAGGAAGACAGACGATGTTACAGAAAGAGGGCAACAGGAAGAAAAGTAAAAGATCTCTTTTGTTTTTAGCTTGACAGGGTCAAACAAATTATTTAAAGCAGGAAGCTGATGGGAAGTCACTATTCAGTAAACCTAAAGCATAAAAAGAAGAAACAGCTTAAATGGCATGAATTATACTCACACACACATACAGTATATGCATAGTATTTGGTCATGTCACATGACTGTCACATGAACGTTTGCTCATAATGGGGAAGCACAGAGTCTAGTGTGTGTGAGACAAAGCCATACGCCTCATGCACGAAGCAGAAAGCAAAAGCTGCAGACTAAAGAAGCTCATGCAGCAGAGAGAGAGAGAGGGACTTGGTAGCTGTATTGTGCTGTTTATGAAACACCTGTAACAAGATCTGATCAGACTCTCTCTCTCTTCTCTCTCTCTCTTTCTGTTTGTCACAAACACACACATACCTGGAAAGCACAATGGCCACATTCTTCCCCCCCGACCCCTCACCCCCACCTCCTGCCTCCCTCTTCAGCTCCGCTCTCATTGGCCCAAATGCTGAAAAGCAGTGAGACGTGGGGGCAGGTGAAACCGGTAAAAATTAGGGTAGCACATCCAGGCTAGATAAAAAAGAGAGGAGCTGTTTAGTGGAGAGAGACAAGTGGAGAGAAATTTGACATTATGTTTCAGGCAGCAACAAGAAATTGTTGAAGATCAGACATAAGGCAAAAACCATAACAATGTACTGTAAAAGCAAGGAAAAGTCGTGTGGGGGATCCAGGACTGGGGGTGTTACTAACAGCCGTAGCAACTGCCAGGTTATGTGCTTCTTTCCTTCCTCTCCTCCACTTAAAGTGTCACTTTGCCAGATTGCAAGAACTTGACAAGGCCTTCAAATTAAACAACAAAACACGTGTGTTCATCCCTTCCTTGACAGTACAGACACATTTTTATGCACTAATCTGCTGGACAACATAGATTATGAGTAACTACTACAACACAAATCACCTTTGGAAAAATAAATTTGTTCTAATGATCTAAAAGAAAACTGTCCTTCTGTAAACATAAAAACGATCACTCATATTACAGTTTTCTGATATGACATCTCTATGATTAAGATTTTGTTAGGACTGCACACAAAGCTACAAAGCCTGTGATAATGATTAAAACATTAGCAGTAAATAGGATGAAGCACAAGGCACATTGTGTTGATATCTAACAAAACCCACAAGCTTTTCCTAACCTTAACCAGACTACTTTTGTTGCCCAAAGCTAACCACATGAGGGAGTAAAGATGCAAAGCCCAGTCTCCAGGGCCAAAGTCCACCATCCTCCACTACTACTAGACTGAGGTACATAAATACAGTGCTATACAGGACACTATACACGGATTTATTTCTTTTAACAAACCCTCTAAAAAAAGCATTGTGCAACCTTCTCTCTTCTGGGAATACAGAGCTCACGACTGACACCCGCTGTTTAATGTGTAAACAGGTGACATCCACTCACTGTGAAGGCTGCATCAACACTTCTCCTTCCCGTCTCTCCTTGCTCCCCCGCCTTCCTCTGGTCAACCTTTGACCCCTGTGTAACCCCTTTACCCGCCTGTGTGATGACATTGTTGAACCCTCCATCCTCTCCTCCAACCTGCTCATGTGCTAAATTCTGTTATTATGCTTCATTTCACTGCTGGTTTCTTGCCTCTTTTAGCTAGATAGACTTTATAGGTTTAGACTGAATAGGAACATAAACATATTAAGGGATAAGTCTGACTTAAAACAAAACTTACCTGCTCCATATCTAAATTAAAAGCATTGCTGGTTGCTGTAATTGTTGAATTGTGGAGAAATCCCTTCCTAGTGTTAGTTATGCGGGACAATACTCAAAACAAAACAATGACACTTACATCTTACTTGATCTTTTCATGGTCACTACTAGAGGAACAATGATAGTGACAAATAACTCTTCTGATGTACATATGGGCAGCCTAGTGTTGTTTTAAAATAGACTTTAAGAGATGTGAACCCATCCTTTAGCTCTCAAGCAGCAGCTTCTCTGCATACCTGATGGTACGCACAATGGGCTAGTTGTCTGGACAGCAAGCCAAGAGGCAAGATGTGTGTGTGTGTGTGTGTGTGTGTGTGTGTGTGCAGAAGGTGATTTGATATTGGCAGTGAAGGCAAGCAAACATGGATGGCACTGAGGGTGTGTATGTGGACATGAGTAGGTTTAGGGGACAGAAAATACCAGTAGGCTACTAGGGCGTTAATGAAAAAAGAGAGGTTGTCTTTCAGTGGACCTACCCTGACTGACAGGTTAAAATAAATAAACTCCATGTTAGGGCTCAGGAGTACAGTTGTAGTAAGTGGCCAGTGTTAGGGTTTAGCGTAGGGCTAGGGTTGGGATAGGGTCTGAAAACAATCACTCTAACATTTTCTTGGAAAGTGGTAGAGAGATAGGAGTTGTGTCTCGGGGGGCAATCAGGATTAGTTGACTCTACTACCAGAGTAGGCAGCACAAATTGTCAGAACACCAACTAAAATGTCCTCACAGTAACAGCATCGAGAAAAATTACTCCGCACAATGTAATGAAGGCATAAACACATCTACTCGATCCCCCTGCAGCCAGAATGGAGTGTTCCCTGGGCCGAGACTGACTGTGAATCCATTCACAAAACTGACACAAAGTAGGTGTCCTCAGGGCTCAGGCACACACACACACACACACACACACACACACACACACACAGTCAGGCTCATCTATTCCTTCCACTTGCCCTTCACAGGTCTTCCCTCTCCCCTAAGTTCTCACATTCCCTTTTCCTTTCTCCTCTTTGTTTCATGAGCAGTTTCAGCCTGTCTTTCAGTGCAAGAGCAGGTGAACAGGTGGATTTCACAGTTTAGTTTTTGTCATAAAACCCCTGTTTCGGTGTGGTGTGCGTGACACTGTTTAACAGCTCAGCTATTATATATTTACGGATTCTGTATTTAGGGGGCGTTAACTGGCGTTGGCTGGTGCTAAATTCCAGCAGCTTTCCATTCAGGTCTTATCTGCCAGGGTTTACACTCTCTTTTCACTTTCCTGGTCTCTCTCTCTCTCTCTCTCTCTCTCTTTCTGTGTGTGGGTGTGCCACAGAACAATCTGTATTTCCAGGAAATCAGCAACAGTGATAATATCTGGTTTAAGACCGTCAGAAGATAAAATGATGGTGTGTTGTGTGTTGATGAAGGCGACGTCCCAGTTGCTACTATCAGTCGGTGCTTCATGATAATTCTGTTATTTGCACACATTGTGTGCCGAGTAATCATCCCACCAGACCGGCTCAAAGCCTCACTAAAGCATTTTCTAGTTGTAAGATGTAGGAAATGTGTGTGGAGAGGAGCTTTCAGATGTTGTTGACACTCCAGCAAGCATTTCATTTAAGCAGTGAAAACCAGAAGTTTGTTTTATAATGACTATATGAGATGCTGACACTGAGTTTTATGATGAAGTAGGTG